GCCTATGCAGGGGGTCGGACTCGATGATCTATTGAGGTCCCTTCTGACCCTAACATTTATGAATCTATGAAACCTGAAAGCTTGCTAAAATTTGTCTTCCAGCTATTTAAGTTGGTCTAATAAAAGATATCAGATTCATCCGAAGAGCCTTGTCTGCCTTTATTAAATACAACATTTCTAAAATATTTTTAGCAGCATTATTTATCAATTTATTTTACATTTGGGGGCGGGGGCAAAAGTTGATAACAGAAAAGATAAGAAAATTGTTCTGCACTTCAAAACAAAGAGAAGGTGGAAATTTCCAAAAAGGTTTCCACTAAATGGCTTGGATGCTTGACAGCACTTGAGGCAGGGAATCTACTGGCACGAATTCAATCCTTTGGGCCCACAAGGTTTTTGTGCTGAAAACTGAGAGAAGGATTGTTTGGGAATCCCCATAAAATGAGAGCCCAATTAGAGCACTACAAGTTTGGGCATATTCTATTGCTAAAGCATCATCCAGATGGAGAGATACTCCCAGGCTGGGCTTTTCTCACAATATTAGCTGAGCACTTAGCTGACATTATTATTTGTGTTTTTCTTGATGGCACGTGGTGGGAAAACACCTCTCTTTTAGGAAGCCCAAAGAATTTGTGACTTCCCAGGGGTCTCACAGCTGGACTATGGCAGAGCCAAAAACTGAAACCAGGCTTATCGAGTCTCAAGCCAGTGCTGCAGGACTGCACAATGCTGGTATAATACTGGCAAAAAATGTTTGTCATCACACGTTACTAAGATCCACATGGAATTGGCACAGGGTATTACCTTTAAAGTTAAGTCTATTTTTTTAATGTGACTTCTAAGGGCTGGAAGGTCAGCTATCCTGACAAGGTGAGGTCTTGTGTTTTTATGGAACCAATTCTTCACATAGTAAAAAGAAATGGACTCTCGAAATGAGAGAACCGTCCTCTGTCTACCTTCTCCCTAACTTCAGATGAACCCAGCTAACTATCTCCCATGTATTATAAGATAGAAACTCATAGCTAGATGTAATTGGAAGGCAAATACAAATGAATGGACATCACGGACATTTTCAAAAGACGTCAGAAATTTGTATTTTATATTACATTTTCTGGGAATGGTTTTTCTTTTGCTCATTCTAATATTGATTTTATTTTTTCATTTTGGAAGAGTTTGGGAAAGTTTTATTTTCGTAAGGATAAATTACTCATTCTCTCCCACTCACATTTTTTGCTTTCTGACTTTTTGGGCGGAGAAAGTGGGTTTCTCCACCAAAATGAAACAAAATTTTGTTTAAAAATTGTCACAAATGGTATTATATTCACTAGAACCATAATTTGATTGAAATTTTTAGTTTTGGGGATAAAGTCTTTTTGGGGGGAGGGGGGTCATTGGAAAATTTTAAACCAGATGGACTCTTATCATCATATCTATAGCAATATCCAACCCAGAATTTCATAGATTCAGAGATGTTAGGGTCAGGAAGGACCTCAGCAGATCATCATGTCTGACCCGCTGCCCTGGGCAGGAAAGAGCGGTGGGGTCAGACGACCTCAGCCAGGTGCATGTCTAGCCTCCTTTTAAAGACGCCCAAGGTAGGGGGTCATGAAGGTTGGGTTGGTTCCATTTTTGGTTTCATATTCATTTCTGTATCACTTTGCCTCTTCATATTTGCCTCTCTTTGTGGTTCCTTCCCTTCAGGCCCACAAAAATAATCTTGGAGGACTAAGGGGAAGAGAAAATTCTCTCTCTTTTTAATGTTTGCTGGGTTGTATCCTTGCGTTGCCTGTGTACAGTCACGATCCTCTGGAACTACACTCGGCCTGAGCCAAAAGGCCAAGAAGCACATACCTTCATTGCCCGGGCAGCATAAGACCACAGTCAGGCTAGCTTAGTGATCAGTGAAGAGTCGTGTGGTCAGCGAGTTTCCTCCTCAAGGTTTATGAAATCAAAAAGCTACAAGAGAAAGACAACAAGGACGTGTTCAGTGTGGGCTACCACTCAGCCCTCCACCCATCGGCTGGGGTATATAGTCACGGAGGCCTTTCCTCCTTTGGGCTACAAATATCACAAGCCTGTGTCAGGGACTGTCTTTTTTAAACCAATGACCAAGGATGCCTTTGTGTAGTACTCAACATATTATGTCTGGTTCTGCCTTGCCTCAGTAAAGCATCTGATTTGAGTTGACCCCGAGAAGAATCACCTATGACAGGATTCACTACTGACATTTTTATAGCTTTATCCAACTTCCTTGAATGTCCCCCAAAGGGATAGCAAAGCCATTTGCAGTCCAGAATCACAGCAGCAGGACTCTGCAGGGTTGCTTATCACTTCCTCTTCCTGCTTCCAGGTGCCTCTGGGATTTGTAGTCCACAGTTGCAGCCAGCAGTAAGCTTGAATGGAAGCAGGAGGGTGTTTAACACCCTTCCCTGGCCCCAGACCCAAGCCGGGGTTTGCCTGGGGGTAGGAAGCCCCCAACCTGCAGACTGGGCAGCATCCCCACGTGGGCTTGCCTCCCCCCCCCCCCCCCTTAGTCAGCCAGTCCTCACTGCCTCAGCTAGGGAACAGAGGGGTGGGGCCAGCCCTTATCTCTGGAGCAGACAGCATAGTCCAGCCCAGGGCTGGATTTCTATTCTGTTACAGGTTTGGACCAGTTTCTGACCACTTAAACCGGTTTAAGTGTAACTTCCTTCCCTAGCCACAGTGGGCTGACAAACACACTTCACAACAGGAGCTGTGAGGGATCCACAGGATCAGAAGCAGCCTCAGTGGTGTCTGTCAAAAAGAAATCCCCAACCCACAGGCAAAGGACTCAAATCCACATCCGTATCATTGCAATGTGAAACACAAGAGTGGAGTTAACCTTGTAGGACATTCATTCATCTGCTTGGACAGTTGTCAGCCTAATTGGCTGCAAGCCTCCTGGAGGAAACACGGCCGTCTTGTTTTACACCAAATAATCCTTAAATCATGTTTGCTGTGGGCTATACAATGCAGGCTTGTTGATCTAACACAACTTTGGAAACAGCAGCCCTGAAGAAGCAGCAATTTCCCATTTTCCTTGCAAGACAGGCTTAAATGTAAATAGCACGAAGCAAGGAGCATGATGCCAGTGGATTTCCCGCACATAACAAATAGTTGTTGCTGCTAACCAGCACATCATTTCAACAGCACAGTATCCAAATGGCAGGCTGACTGCAATGTGAACCTCCGAGTGGCTTATGGTGCAGGTCCACAACACATCTATTACGTGGGAAATTGAGTTTACTCCATAGTAAAAGTGAAGTGGATATGCTGTCTTAACCCATGTCTTACACGAGGTTAAGTGTAAGGCCAGGGAGCTGGTTGCGTGTCCGCCCCTTCTTACGGAATAGGATCTGGGGTAAATTGTGTCACCTTAATCTCGTTGTGTGTCCACCCCCTCAGACACCATTTTCATTTCTATTCAGGCTTACCCATCTCAGAGGCCCTCCAACTCCTGCACGACAAACTCACGTTGTGCGAGCCAAAGCTGAGCCCCTTCAAAGCCTGCAGCGTGTGCAATTACTTCTGCAACACCTTCATCAGGCACTACCACCTCTACCAGTTTGTGCTGTGTCAGGAGAGGGACCTCAGACAGCATTTGGCCCATCTGGAAGTCTGTGGGCCCCCGCAGCCTCTCCCGCTGATGGCAGGCACTGAAGTGGAAGCCGCGAAACACCAGCAGCAGCTGGCTGCCCTCTCTGCCGCAGAGGCCCAAAAACACACCGACATGCTGCTCCTCCAAGAGAGACTGCATTCGGAGAAGGAGCGCATGCTGCAAAGGGTGTATGACAGAGTGAATGCACAGGCAGGGGCCTTGGACAGAAAGGTAAGTGCGTGGGCCAGGCCTACTTAGTTTAGAAAAGAGACACCTGAGGGGGGCATGAGAAGGGTTTGCAAAATGCTAAATGGTGAAGAGAAAGTACATAGGGATTTATTATTTACTGAGCGCATCTACACAAGGCACTAACCATGCAAGAGCCTAATAACACTGCACAGAGTGTGCTGGGCAAAACCCATGCTAATATGCTGCTGCTGTGCAGTCGTTTTAGGCTACTACAGTGTTGTTGTTCATCCTTTGTGGGTGAAGACGACCGCATTGAGCGGGGCAGGGAGAGAAGAGAGAAAAGAAGTAGGAAAGAAACAGGGAGGAAGAAAAGAGAAAAGGAGAAAAAAGGAAAAAAGGAGAGGAGAGAGAGAGGAAAGAGAAAGAAGAGGGGTGGAGGCTAGGTCGCATGGGTACGCAGGTGATTTATAAGCCTGATCTCAGCCTTGAGCAATCTGCTGCAGCAGGGGCAGGAACATAATGAGGACTGGGAATGAGAGGTTTTCATTTTCCTGGCCACGCATTTCTTCATTGCTTTTGCCATGCGGTGCTGTTCAAAGGCCAGTGCTCTGTTCTGGATTGATGGACGGTCACAAGCCATTTGCTCCCATGACTCTGGGGAGCAAATCTGGGGCTCCAGGGAGCAAATCCATGACTCTGGGGAGCAAATCCATGACTCCGGGGATGCTTACTGCACAGTATGCTGGGATGCTGTGCTTACTGCACAGAAAGCATCACTAAAAACCCGTGTGCTGGCACTATTGCACAGTAGTGCAAGGTAATCAAGTTGATTAATCAAGCACTAAACCCGCTGTAACTATGGCACACTAATGTATGTGTAGATGCACCCACTGTCTCTCACTATGCAAAACCTAGGGGTCATGAAAGGGAACTAGAACTTCCTAGACCCGAACTGCTGGAGGCTGCAAGTCGAAGAGGAACCAGGGAAAAAACCCTGGGCATAACCTGTTCGCTGTCCCCTTCAGCATCCCCTTTCTGCTGCCGTGTGACAGCAGATACTGGTCTGACCCAGTAAAGTGGCAGTTCTTATATTCTTATGGGGTCTGTAGAGAATAGGCAGGTCCCTCTGGGTGCCTGTCTGTACCACAGGAGAAAATTGATTGATCAAGCAGCTGAGAGAATAAGCTCCACCTACACATTTATGCCAGCAAGCCTGCTGATTACCACTGCCTGGGAACAATTATTATTACTATTAGCATCATCATCATCATTGTTGTTGCCATTTTTGTTGCTGTTGTTATTATTATTATTTCATGACTTTGTACTGTGGCAGCATCTAGGAGCCCCACTCATGGCCCGGGACCCACTGTGCCAGGGGCTGTACACACACAGAACAAACAGTCTCTGCTCTAGAGAGCTTTAAATCTAAGGGCGACCTGCTCATGATGCTACAATATCATCACTTAGCCACCAAAGACCTTTAGAAAATTTTGGGTGATTTATGAGATAAAGCTCCCACCTTCCTTCCAACCTCTGGCACCCAAAGCTTACCACCAAGTCAGCATTCCCGCTCCTGTTTCTTGGGCCAAATGCATTCTCGTATTTGTCGTTTTCCCCATCAACACTTTCATATGCTCCTTTTATAGATACGTTGGGGCCTGCAAGTTCCTTATACCAGACTGCCACTTCACTGTGGCCAAACAATGAGCTCAGATAAATCACTAGAGGACACACTGGACCATAGTGGGCACATCTACATGTTCATTAATGCACCTTAATTATGCGCAGTATTACTTACTGCTAATAAGAGGTACTAACTGAACGTGCAGTAACTAGAATTACTGTGCGGTAGTGCCAGCGCATGGTTTTTTAGTGACACTTACTGCGCATTAGCCTAATAACACTGCAGTGTAGGCTACTAGCCTGGTTAATAATCACTACACTGCTGTGCACATCTACACATTCATTAATGCACCTTAATTACTGTGCAGTATTACTTACTACTTACTACTAATAAGAGGTACTAACTGAATGTGCAGTAGCTAGAATTACTGTGCAGTAGTACCAGTGCACAATTTTTTAGTGACACTTACTGTGCATTAGCCTAATAACACTGCGGTGTAGGCTATTAGCACAGTTAATAACCACTAAACTGCTGTGCAGTGTTATTAGGCTAATGCGCAGTAAGCATCTCATGTAGACGCACCCACAGAGCAGTTAATTACTGCATGCAAACCCACTTCAGTGAATGAAGAGCCCAAGGCAAAATCCAGCTACTGATTTCTAACCAAAGTTTGGTTTAGGTGTAGTGGGAACACTTTTTAACTCTGGCACAAAAAGCAAACTGAAGTGAGTCAAATGAAAAAAACCTAGGTTGGGAACGATATAACATATAAGTGGCATCATTAAAAATAGAAACGTGTTATAAAAGACTCAGCTTGGAGTAACCAAAGACACATTCTATAGTGAAGCCTGTCCTCCAGGTGTTTTCATGTATTTCATTATTATCAAGATATGCTTGCAATCCAAAAATGTGGACTATCCCCCCACTCCAAACTGGAGACACCAAAGAGGCAGGACTCACTGGAGATAAGAGACTTCTCCCTCCGTCACTCTTAGTCTCCTAGTCCCACTCATTGCTGCCATTGCGTGGGGTCCACAGCATGCTGCACACTTCACACAACACATGCAAACGGCAGGTTAGCAATCAATGTTGCTAAGATCCTCTCTCCAGAGCTGCTTGGGGCTGATCTCGGTGGGACTTCTCTCAAAGGGAGTCTGGAAAATATAGCCCCCAAAAGGATGGGCAGGTTGGGCAAGTGAAGGCGGAACATTTTTAAGGAAGGGAAGCAGCATGGAAAGGCATGAGTTATGGATGTGATGCCACACTTTCACAACTCACGGAACCACGTGCCATATTTACCCACCTGCCACATGCACCTTTCCCCCGAAAAGCTGCCCTCCCGAACTAGCGTGTATAGCTTAAGCAAGGAAGCTGATTATTATGCCCACACTGGAACAGAAAAAGTGGGACTTAGAAGCAAGCAGAAGTGGCAACCACTCCTACCTGCCGTGCTGTGGCCCGGAAAGCAGAAGGGCTGGCGTCTAGTGTTATCCCTCTCGCAGCCCAAGCACTTTGAGCTGGATGATGGTGAGTGAGCTGCTGTATGCAGCCTGTGGTATCTTGATGCGGCTTGTGGTGTGGAAGCAAGCCTGTATTGCTTACAGAAACTTCTACTAAGAACTACTTCTAGTAAAGGAGTAGGAGTCTTACCATGGGGAAGAGACTTCATCGAGGTTGCCCAGTAGGTCAGTGGCAGAGCTGGGACTAGACTGGAGTCCTCCCGAGTCCCGTTGCAGTGCTCTGGGGAATAAGTGGATGGTTGGTTGGTCTACCGGGACTGGAAGGGCTTTTTACACAGGGTAGCACAGAGACAAGCCTGTGGCTTGGATATGTAACATATCCATACTGATATAATACCAATATAATTTATATCAGCTTTGTACACCAATATATATTACACTGGGATTCAGGGCAGACAGACAACTAGCTTTTGGGGAGTAACTGCTGCAGGAGATGCTATTAGAGGGTCGCACCACTGGGTGATAAGGGCACAGGTCGCATTATTGACCTGTTGTTATTTGACCTGTTATTTGACCCATTAATTGACCCATTATTGACCTGTTGTTTGTCCTTGAGCAAATAGCTACTTCTAATTAGAGCGCTCCAGTATTGCCACTTCTAATTAGCCCCAGGGTTGCTACTTTTAATTAGCCCCAGTGTTGCTTCACCATCACATGTATTAAGCCCCAGCATGTTTCAAAATGGCCATGGGGGCACTTTATCTAAGCATCGTTGAATGATCTTTAGGTAAAGCGTGCCACAGTCATTTTGAAATGCACGGAGGCTTAATACACATGCCAATAACTGTTTTAAATGGCATGGGTGTCCAGGAACCACTCTAATTAAAACACGCCCCGCTCCATCCTTGAGCATGTGTATAGGCAGCTGGTAAGGTGGGAAAGAAGGGCTTGAAATCTGGGGCTGTGCCCAAAGCAAAGTTGGGCATGGCCTTGAGAGCATGCCCTTTTAGAGCTGGTCTGCACAGCTGAAAACCTGAGATTACTTACCATGGGTAAATAATTCATATGAGCTATCCTGATGCACGGAGTAGAGACCAGGCCCTTGAGCTTTGCTATGAAGTGAACTCGCGGCGGACACTGCAATGCCCCAACCTGGCACTGATCTCAGCGACTTTACCTAATGGCAGAACTCAAGCGCCTTTCTTATTTTCACGGTGTTTTTACCCTAGGTGAGTTGGCACGTGGTATTTACCCTGAAGCAAAAGACAGGTTGGGTTTTTTTTAATTTTATTTTAGCAGTAAGAACAAGTCTTGTGATGTAATGCAGAGCCCAAGGGAGTGCCTGGGGGTGGGGAGGAGGAAGAGTGTAACAGAGGAAGAAGGTAAATTTAGCAGAGGTGTCTCATAGGATGGGGGTGGGTTTCAGGAAGGCCAGAGCCTCAGAGTACCCGCTAGGCTACCCCAGCCATGCTCTGGTTAATCTAGTTTGAATTTTCATTCAAATAAAGCATGCAGGCAAAGAAATCCCAAATGCATCTTCATACAGTCATGTCGTTGAGGCCACAAATCATGATGCCACTGTCCTGGTTCTCACTCCTTCTTACCCACGCAGATCTTCTCCCTGCGCACTGTGGAGTAAATTGGATCCACACAGGAAAGCGATGGAGATCTGGTTTCTCGGCATCTTTGCCTTCCCAACATGGGCTTCCCTTCTCGCACGCTGCATGTCGTGCCAGCTGCCTGCAGCTCCCTACAGCAGTGACCTGAGTATTAGCATCACGGCAGACGAAAAGGACAACAGTCTATGGGGTAGGGGCTGCAGGGTTGGCCTGCTGTATTTAAGCAGTAAATCCCCTTTACTGGTGTTGCTGCCAACACCCCAGATTGCTAAAATGCTCCATTCCCAGGAAATAAATTTACCCCATGGATGCTGCACAGTCACTCTTGGTTGAGCTGGGATAGTGGGCCAGGACAGGCGACTGGCAGAGTCCGTCCACTGCCCTTGTACCATGTTGCTGCATAACGATTTCTGAAATTATTATTATTAATTTTTTTTTTACCTAATTGGTAGGCAGCGATGAGAATTAACTTCCGTGACAGTCTTGCTTGAAGAATGCAACCCGGTGGCTCACCCCTTCCCGGACGGAGCCAGGCAGGTGTGGTGGCACGGTCGCACCCTGCTTCGAGCTCACTGCCCGGTCAGCGTGGGCTCCTGCTCACCAGCCGATCAAGCGTGAACTCTGGCAGAGCCATTGCTTTTTCATAGCTCTGGAGCCCAGGGGCTGAGCATCACCTCCTCCTTTCTCCTCTCCTCCACTGAATTCCCCGGTGGGGGAAAAAAGGGGACGAGCAGCTGCAATGGCACTCATCTCCTGGGCTCTGCAGCCGTGTGAGAGCAGTGGCCAGAGCTCACACCGGTCGAACCAGCGAGCTCATAGAGCTCACTGCATCTGAAGAGCTCTGGCAGGAGCGGTGCTGACCGGGCAGCGAGCTCAGACCGCCAAAGGGAGTGTGGCTGCACCCCCCTCACCCTGCTCCTGCACCCCTTCCACTCTTCATCTGGTCCTGGTCTGCCTGCATCACGGTCAGGTACGACAGCGCAAGATCCTACAGTCAGCACAGACCTCCCGTCAGAGACCCTGGGAGGTCTGAGTGTGCAAAAACTGCAGGATCAGGCCCTTTCTCGGTAGGGTACCTATTGGACTGCCATCTCCAGTCTCATTTCGTAACCAGCCATGAAAAGTTTATAAATCTCAGGGGCGGAGACACTTCTGCCTCAACTTGCATTACAGGTTCCCAGCCCAGGAGCAAATTGTTTTGGAAATTTAATTAAACTCCAATGGGGCACTTTGATGATCAGCCCACATGCCTAGTGGAATTAATGTATGCGCAATAACGTGCGTGTGTCACTGCACCGTTGGTATTAACAAGCGAGTTCAAGTAATGTGGCTAACATCATCCTCAATCACCTTTTGAACTCAGGCAAACAGCAAGGAAGAGTGACTGGGAAGGTCAAACGGGCACTTTAATGACAGTGGGGTCTCTGCTTTGGGTCAGTCTCACGCACAAGGTCTGAAACAGGATCTGACCCCTGGAGCCCATGAACCCACTGGGATCTGGGTTAACCTCAGGAGATCTGGTGCAATGGACAGAGCTTGCCTTCTCAAGCAGTCCAACCCACTGTCACCATACGGCTTCCTGGCCTCCTGTGCTGGAGCCCCATGCATACACCCAGAGGTCTTCGAGCATCCAGAAATAACTTGCCTCCAGAGGAATCAATGGCTTAGGTAGAGCATCTCTGCTGGGTTAAGAGTAGGGAGCTCCTTTCAGAGAGGTGTCCTTGCAGACACATCTAGGCCTGCACCCTTCCCACCTGCAGATCCCACATCTTCGAGGAGCCCAGAAGAGCTGAGGGATGGGGGACACCATTAATGAGTCTGTTTCCAACAGAGGGGCCGGGCTGAACCCCTGGCAGGTTAAAGGGAACAGCTGGTTGATAGTAAAGTCAGGGCTGAACACAACTCCAGCCCTCCTGCTCTTCCACTTCCTTTTAGGTTTTAGAGAGCATGGTGAGAGAAGCAATCGGGACCCAGATTGAAGCTGTCCATGAGATCCTGCAGACTGAGATCCAGACCACCTTTGAGATCCTGGATCTGAGACTCCAAAAGAAGACCCTCTCCTTAAACCCACCTGCCACCCACCCCCCACCTCCCTCCTCCGAAGACCGAGCAAAGTCGACCAAAGCCCAGGTGCAGAAAAAGAAGAAATGACGAGCCACCGACCTTCTGGATAGACCTCAGCATAACCTCCTGACTGCCGGTGCACAGTGACTGTGGTCTGCGCTTCCCTTTCATGCGTGAACTCTTTGGGCACGGTTGATGCCGGCGCGTTTGTTCATATTGCCCTGGTTGGAACGATTAAATTTGGTAGAAACAAACCAAAGCAACTGATGAGTTATTAACATGGGAGACGGGAGACACTCACTATCAACAGCTTGGTTCTGCTAAAAGATGTAGGGTATGTACAATGCTGGCCCACTGGATTTGGCCTAGCGCTGTATTCAGTATTGTGGAAGGGCAGTGTGCAAGGCAGTATTGTGGAAGGGCAGAGCAGTGTGCAAGAATTTGCTCTCTCCACCGCTGAGACAGCCCTAGGTAGAGATTATTATAAATATTATAAATAGCAGGCCTCTCTCTCACATTGGTTCCCACGGCTGGGGGATTAGCTGCTCATTTCTCCATCAGCCCGTGCTACCACCGAGAGCCTCAGGAACCTGCTGTCTGGGGGTGAGATCCTGTGGCAAAGTACAGACTGTTAAAAAGCCCAAGGCTGAATTGATTCAATCGTCACAGGTTAGTCTAAGATGCGTAGACTGAACTGATAAGCGAGTGAACAGACATTCACTTTTGATTCTGGAAATGCAACCACATGCCTGCAGCGGCCCAGGCCAGAAGCTGGGGAGCGCTACAGCTCGCCCCCCTGCTCAGCTGGAGCAGACAGCTTGGGCCAAGGCTCTGCAAGTGGGGTTTGCAGGGGAGGTGCAAAGCATCCTGGGATGCTGGGGGACTGAGTTAGTTTGAATCAGGAGGGGATCTGGGATAGACGTTCAATAAACTGAGGTATTGAACTGCTACTTAAGTCTGAAAACATCTAGGTTGATCTTAAACCAGTCTAGGCCATTTTCAAAGCGGTTTATGTGCACTGAACTCCTGTTGTGTTGCAGATTTGAACTGGTTTCTCATCACTTATGCCAGTTTACATGTAATTTCTGTCCTGAGCTTAAGAGGTGCAGCACTAGAGGAGCAAAATCAGGGGCACAGCACCAAATGCTCTGGAAACAGAATTAATCTACCCCACTTCTTGTTCGGTGACCACAGCTGCCTTGGCATGGTACTCTAGTGGGGACTAATATGCCATAGAATAGTGATGGTGACAATATTTCTTCCAGTTCAGGGGTTATCTTCCCTTTTAGAGACCCTTTGGGAATACCATGACATTGCTGTGAGATTCAAGACAACCCTGGAGCATTTGGGCTGGGCCATCACTATATACAGAACTCACTGCTCAGGAGAGGAGGGGACTAGGATAGCTTTAAGCCTTTGCTATGCTTCCTAACCCTAAACTCACAGAGCCAGAAGGTTGGGAGGAGTCTCAAGGGTCCTCCGGCAGTCAAACCCCATGCACAAACACAGGTGTCATTAGTAGTTCCCAAGCTGTCCCAGGCAGATGCCAATCTAGCCTTCTCTTGGAAACGTCTGATGAAGAAGCCCCAAGTTAATGGATGCTTTGGATGTTATTTTCTTTCTCTGCCTCGCATCCCTCCCTGTAAAAAATGGGCAAATGCCACCCCCTACGTCATCATCGTCACAGTGGTGTGAAGATTGCTTCTGGAACATTTTGAAGCACTCAGATACAACAGTGAAAAGCCCCCTCCAAAAGCCCAGGAGGAAATGATCCATTCTGATTTGAAGAAAAAGTTTGGGCAGCACGTGGAAAGCAAGGCCTGGGACTGCTCATTGCATTTGGAGAAAACAAAATACCGGACAGCTGATCATTACATGGTCATTCTCCAAGAGAGCAGGGATCCGGAGGAAAAGGCATGATGCGGAACGGCTGTGTCCTAACACAGATTTACAAAGGGTGTCGAATCTGCAAACACATTTAATTCTGGGATTTCCAAATTGTTACGGCTTTGCAATCTTTCTAACACACAGATTGCTATGTGCGGTTTTCAAAAGGTCGGTCAAGCTGAGCAAACCGAATCTCCATCCCCTGGCATCGCACCGTCTGGGGCGCTAGCGGGTTTGAAACCCTGAGACCCACCGCCCTAGCCTAGGGAAGGGACTTTCTCGCAGATGCTTTTTTGGCAAGTGTTGCCTGCAACTCAGCATATGCTGCCTGAGCTGATGGGGCTCCAGACAGCAATCGTAGGTTGTTATCTTCGATGCAAGCCAGTATTAGAGAGGGAGGGGAGGCATGTAGGCTGCACAGGCATGTAGTCCCTGGCTCCTCCTCTGACCTCTATGGTCATTGTCCCATTTTCTTCTATCCCCATTCTTCTTCCAAGGAGGCATTTAACCTCCTTGTCACTAAATAATAATGTTTCCCCTCCCTTCATAGCGCCTGGCAATCAACTGCTTTGCACATGCTATGTAAAGGAAAGACCAATGCACACCGGGCACTGCCTCAGCCTACATGGGGCCTCCTGACGCCAGGACCAGCCCCATGGCACCTGGAAGGCAAGCGGCAAAGCTCAGCTTCCTGCTTTCTGCTTCAAACAAAACTCCTTCATGGCAGTCAGGGCCAGAAGCAAATGTGAACCCGTTGCAACGGGAGAGAACAGGGTTGCGGTGGAGTTGTTCCACCCCACCACATACAACACACAAGAAAACCAGTGTCAGGCATCCAGGTTGTAGCCGTATTGGTCTAGAGGCAAAACCACGGGGAGGGTGATATCTTTAATTAGACCAGCTAGGCATTTGCAAACCAATTCTTTGATTGACTTGCAAGCTTTCGGACATGCTCGCCCTTCATCAGGCGTAGGAGAGAGCAGAGATGGTAAAAAGTTCATTGCTACCTGGGAGCACTTTTACAATCTTTGCTCTCTCCTACACCTCGTGAAGGGCGAGTGTGCCCGAAAGCTTGCAAGTCAATCAAAGAATTGGTTTGCAAATATCTAGCTGGTCTACTAAAAGGTATCACCTCTTCCATGCATTTCGATTCCAAGAAAACAAGGGAGCAATGGGTTATGGAGAATCAACAACTCCTCATCCGAGAGCTGGCCCCTACAGGACATAGGATTGTAGGACTTCTGGGCCTCCTACATTTGCAGGCAACATTTGCCAAAAAAAGGTCCACAAGAATATCCTTTCCATTGCTTCCATCTGTCACCTCCACAAAACACCGGACAGCAATCACCCAACCACGTGTCACAGGTACAGAGCAGAGCAACACCGGTGCCTGGCACTGGGACATTAGGGACCTGACTGAAAACCTACTGAAGTCAGTGTGAGCTTCTTTTCGTTGGCCTCAAGGGTTCGCAGACCCAGGCTGGGAGAAGGTGGCATAGGAAAGCCAAGTTATGGCGAAGCTGTGGGTAAGGCAAAACCTTCTCTCTGCAAGACTGGGCACCCAGCCCTCCTCACCCCCCAGGAAGCCACAGAGCAACGGTTATAAAAGTTTAACCATCTTTTTTAACGAGGGTTAAAAAAGTTTAACGATGGTTTAAAAAGTTTTTAAAAGTTTAACGATGGTTTAAAAAGTTAAAAAAGTTAATGGTTTTAAAAGTTTTTTAAACAGCAGGAAGCAAGAAGGCCCGAGTGAAAAATCAGTGCTGGAGTGAAGCCGGGGTAAAAGGCAGTATCCCCAAGCTGGCCTTCAGGGGAGGGATGCTTTCCAGTGCCAGGCAGGAAGGGAAGCCAGGATCTGCCATGCCCGCTGCTGCTTGCTTTCAGTCCTATATATTTCTTATTTTTTGTCAGCAGCCTCTCTTGCTCCCGGGGATCTCAGGGAGAGAGCAGGCAGAAATGTGAGCGTCACGTGAGCAGGTTTCCTTCCTGAGTGCACGGCGCCCTTCTGATGTTTTGTTCGTCCCGAAGCTCCGGGGGCCGGTGGCACGGCAGGCGTGGGGGCTCCGGGGGACCTCAGGACAGAGCAGCACGGCAAGGCCGGGGCACGTCTCAGCCTGGTTGTGTGACGCGTGAGGAGGGAAAGGGTCCCGGGAGCACCGGTCTGGAGCTGGATGCTTTGGAGGGCAGGATGCTTCACCACCGTGCCACAGCGGGAGGGGAGTAAGCTGTGATAATACACACAAACCTCCCTAGAGGTGGCATCCACGGGGATGGCCTCCTCCAGCTCTAGAGGATGATGGAGCCTGTGCTGGGCTGGCCTCTCCCCCTTACACCGTTCAGGGCTTTTTCTTCCATCCATCTTCCCTCTGGCTCCTCTCCAGGCCCCAAAAGGGGGTAGCCCTGGCCCTCAGGGGTCTAAACTGGGTGCAGCCCCATCCCAGTAAAAGCCCTCGGGGAGCAGTCCTGGCCCCTGGGGGTCAGCGGACAAACTGGCTGACAACAGGCACCCCGGAGCAGCACTGGACTGGGAAGGAGGAGACTGGTTTCAACTCTTAGCCCTGGCAGTGACTTGGTGCCAGGCAAGGCAACGTGCCTCTGCTTCACCCGCTCTCCAAGCAGGGATAACCAGTCTGCTCTTCCTTCCTAGAAGAGGAGCCTGGAGGATCGTGGCCACGTCAGCGCTTTGCACCAGGGGCTGGGTACGCACCGGTGCTCGGGTGTTTGGTTGCACCCAGTCCGAGGTAGAGAGCCCTCTCCCTGCTTTCTAGGAAGGGAAAAGACACCCATCTGTTTCCCCCAGCCCTGTCCCCAGCATTCAATCTCGATCCCAGCTTGCTCTTGATTCACGGGGGAAGGGTGTAGCAATATCAGGGGCAACTCTACAAATTCAAAAAATGTCCCAACCAATGTTGGCTTCACCTGTTTCTAGAGGAACTGATGTCCTAGAGGAATTCAACTCGAAAATGCCTCTCGGGTTAGGGCCAATTCTTCCTCCATCCACCAAGTGTCTCCGACTGCCTCACATCTCCGAAGAAGGAGCTCCCCACACCCCACATCTGCACTTCTTCCACACCCCACATCTGCCACTTCTTCCACCCTTTCCCTGTTGAAAAGTCCTTGACACACCCCATTCAGACATGGGTTTGAAAGCAAAATCTGGCTTTGGATCTGGGTATGGACTGGGACTGGCAGTCTGGATC